CTTGTTTGCAGATGACACCTGGACATACATCTGTAAACCTGTCTCGGCCTCACCTCCTTTCCCCACCCCACCTCTCTATTACCTGCAGATGTGTCATTCTGCTTTTGTGTTCTACATTAGTTATTTTTAATAAATGAAATTCTTGGGTTTATTCAAATGCATGAAAATAAGCAAGGCTAGCCCAGCAAAGCAACAGGTGACTTGTTTGCAGATGACACCTGGACATACATCTGTAAACCTGTCTCGGCCTCACCTCCTTTCCCCACCCCACCTCTCTATTACCTGCAGATGTGTCATTCTGCTTTTGTGTTCTACATTAGTTATTTTTAATAAATGAAATTCTTGGGTTTATTCAAATGCATGAAAATAAGCAAGGCTAGCCCAGCAAAGCAACAGGTGATATGGTACTAAGTGCATTGTAGGGACCAATCAGAGTCCCCACTGTATTGTCCTGCTTGGCAACAAATATTACAGGCTTTCTGCATCAAATTCCTACTTCAAGGCTTCCCAGAACCTTATGGCCCTGTGCTGTGTTCCTCTAATAACCCTGGTATCAAACTGTTCAAATTCAGCCCCCAGGTGCTGAGCTTCAGTGGTCCAATTCTGAGTGAAGCTTTCATCCACGAATAGTATGGAGAGTACAGTATGCAGCTGTTACTCTTGGGATGTTATCTGCCTGGTGCAGCTTCCCATACAAGTATTGCCAGCGGGCTTTTAAATGACCAAAAGCACACTCCATTGTCATTCTGCACCTGCTCAGCCAGTTATTGAACCACTCCTTGCTGCTGTGAAGACTCTGGGTGTATGGTATCAGGAGCCGTGATATGAAGGAGTAGATGGCATTTCACAGATTCACATTAGGTATTTCCACTTCCTCTTCAGTGATCTTCTGGTGCAGGAAGAAAGTTCCTGCTTGCAGCTTTTTCAATAAGCCACTGTTATGAAAATGGGTTCATCATACACTTTTCTGGGCCAGCCTGTGTTAATATCAGTGAATCACCCACAGTGATCCACAGGTACCTGGAGAATCACTGAAGATTACCTTTTCCTGTTAATGTACTGAGAGGCTAGGTGATCTGGTGCCAGAATTGGAATGTGTGCCATCTATCTCCCCATCTCAGTTAGGGAAGCCCCTCTGTAGAAAGCCATCCACAGTTTTCACACACGTTGTCCAGAGTCGGGGTCTTTTTGGACCAGATGCAATCAATGGCCCTGCATGCTTCTCTCAAAGTGAGTCCAACGGTCGACCTTCCCTCTGTTTGGTGATAATGAGAAGTAGTGGAGTGAAGCGGTGGCAGTGCAATGGCCAAGAGCTTGTCCACTGACAGGGCAGCTCTCATTCTCGTGTCCTTGCACCATAGATTGAGGTTGAGCACCTGACACAATTCTATGAAAGTGGCTTTCCTTATCCGAATGGTGTGCAGCTGCCACTTGTCATCCCACACGTCAATGACGATGTTATCCTGTCTTTCAGTGCTTGTTTCCCAGGTGTTGCGCTGTGGTCAGCACAGCCGTGAATGCTACAGGGAATGTTGTGTTGTATGTATGATTAGTGTCCTATCCCTCATCGTCACTTTTTGCAGCTTAAGGAATAACTTGACTGCCATTGTGACATGTTAGTGAGACCTATCAGCATTTTCTTCAACAGTTCAGAATCCTTTCCTGCAGACCAAGGAGGCAGAGCATGCAGCACAGAAACTCTTGAAAGATGGTGCCAAATTTGGGCAGAAGCACAGGGTTTTCTGGGATGAAAAGCAATGCACCATGGGGATACACAGTGGGGATACACAACCCTAGTTTCGCTACTGTGCTCTGGGAGCAGTGCTGTAACTGACAGCGCTTTGTCTGCCAGTGTAAATAAAGCTTTAATCTTACTAAACAAATGATTTTTCTATTCTTTCTTTTTATGGGGAACTTCTTCCGAGGGCAGTTCATCAAACAATCCCTCTCTTGTCTGACTGACAGTGTGTAACTTTCAAAATTGAAAGTGAACATCAGCTGCTGCTTACTTCTTTAGCAATAGTAACTAATTGGAGCAGAGATTTACAGGTGTTGGGCACCTATTTCCTGTGTTAACTGAGTAATGCATTAGCATCGTGAAACCCTTTAAACAATAATAATATACTGAGGTTTCTTCTTAGTTCTTTGACACAAATTTCAAAGTACATAGGATCATAGCAGAATTTCTGCTACTATTCAGTAGGTTAGACATTGAGTCAGAGTCAATGGCTTGAACAGGAAAGTCAACTGTATAGATAAATTGGGTTATAGTTTACTGAAATGAATGCAAACAGTGTGGAGCTTGATATATTTGTCATTAGAGATACCTCTTTTCTATTATTTGCATCTCTATATAATATGTGCTCTTAAAGATGAATTTAGGTGTCATAGTTGTTGGCCACAGCTGTTGCCATCATCTTCCTCAAATAACAGAGAGTCTCCTAGTACTTCATTTGCAATATCCTTTTCTGGTCAACTAGGAATTTGAAGTATTTTAGCTACTTGGAAGCAGCTGAATCTCAGTATAGAAAATTTGTCTAATTTCCTTCAGTGTCTTCCAATTTAAGTAGATACTTGCATAACTCAAGATAAGAGGTGCATAGTAACACGCCTTCAAATTTAATCATTTCTTCCTTCATCCTTACACTGAAAAAAGTGTTTCAAGGGTAATATTAGTTCACGATTCTGTTCCTGGGATGTTGTACCACATTCTCTTTTCAACTTATGAAACACAAAATGAGAAGTCCAAAGAATGAATAATGCTCATGTCCACCTGGCTATGAGGGGAAGATGAGACTTAGATGTAAAGTTAGCATAAGTGTAGAAAGACTAGTCAATGGACTAGAGAGTAGATGGTCTTTCCAGGCTCATTTTACTAGTCATTGAAAAGGATTACCCTTAGTATGTGCAAATGATATTTTATACCTGTAAGTCAGGAATTATTTCTTTTTAAGGTCTTCAATAAAATAAAACTCTTAGAATTTCTCAGTGCAAATTTCTAGAAAGGAGTAGGAACTAAGATGAGATTAATCGTTCCAGTAAGCATCATGCCTTTTTCTAATAAATTATATTACAGTACCCCGTGTGGTAATGTCTGTGGCCTCATAATATGTAAAACTAAATTTCTAGTCTTTATGGTTATAACTGTGCATTGTCTTTCAGTGTCCAGCTCTCAAAACTTCCAGCTCTTCATCTTCCCTATCCACCATAGCTTCTATAGTTATGTTAAATTCAGTTGTACAATACTTCATGTTCAGTATGTTCTTCATTCTATATTATTATACAAGATATTAGTTGTATGTATTTTCGTATATTAATGAAGGAAAATTTCATTTTAAATATTCTTGTTCCTGCCAAAACATGTATCAGTTTGCCACAGAAATAAAGGGGTTTTGCTGTGGGTTCAGCTCATGCCACAGAGCATGATGTTTGAATACCACAACTTGTAACTTCTAATCAGAAGAAATCCCTTAATTGGCATAAGAAAAACACAACTTTTATTGTAAACATAAGCCTAAAATCACAAATTTAGTTAATTTAGGATTTGAATCAATATACACGCTAATGTGTTTATAAGTTATGGTGTACCTGCATTAGAGAAATTATTACCCATCTTCTAGTGCTGGTGCATTGTACCAGCAAGTATTGTCAGCCATGAACAGATTCTCATAAAATGATATAAATACCCGAGCCTTGTTTGTACTAGGGATGTCATAGTGTTGTTGACTACACCATTAACTGATAAGCCTGGGCCTCTGATAGAGAAGCAGCAGGTGGGAGCTGGTGTTTGTGGGGAGCCGGCTCCCCATGAGCGCCAGCTCCATGGAGCTGCTTCCTCTTGCATGGCTGCTTCTATCAGAAGCAGCAGCGGGGGAAGGAGGGGTAAGACTGCCATGGAGAAGCCCTCTGTCTGTGGCAGGCCTAGGCTTGCTGCAGACAGACTGCTCTGTGGGACGCCGGCACAGCTCTTGTCCATGGGGCAGCAGATGGGAGCTTGTCTGTGTGGGGAACCGCTTCTTAAACTTGCTCCCCTCTGGGACTAGCTCTGTCTGCCACCTGGTGCTGCTGCCTCTGATACAGAGGCAGCAGTGTGGGGTAACAGGGGCTCCCTGGGTGTGGGACTGGGAGCACCCTAGCTGCCAGCCCTGCCCCTGGGAACTATAAAATAATTGTGTAACTTATAAAATGTGATGCGATTACAAGATTGTTCAATTACACGGTGATGCACTAACACTCTTTGTGCAGCAGGACTACAAGTTTTGTGTGTAGACAAGGCCTTATGTAACACATTCTTGTATCGCAATTATCCCAAAATGTGGATGTTTAAAGCAGAGTGTTTCAGCTGGGAACTTTCTAGCATTTGGCTGCAGAAAATTGAGATGATTTTTTCATTTTTCTTCTGCTTATTTTCTAAGCAGAATTTTTTTTTATTTTTCTTCTGCTTATTTTCTAAGCAGTTATAATTTAAAAAAAATTACTTGTATTTTCAAAACCATTTAAAATTATGCTTTCTTGTTAATTGTATGTTCTAGTAGTGAAACTATTGTAACTTACAATATTGGTTTTTTACTTAGGTTTCAGCCACCTTTGCAGCAAGTTTGGTAACGAGTCCTGCCATTGGAGCGTACCTGTCTGCTAGCAAAGGAGATAACCTTGTAGTACTAGTGGCCACAGTGGTAGCTGTGCTGGATATCTGTTTCATCCTATTAGCTGTTCCAGAATCTCTGCCTGAAAAAATAAGACCTGCTTCGTGGGGAGCCCCTATATCATGGCAACAAGCAGATCCGTTTGCAGTAAGATGCATATTTTTATAAATATTTAAAGTTATTAAATCTTTTTTAACATCAGGAATGAACTAATGTATTGGTAAATTAGTCATTAAACTAAGACATATTACTCTTTACACCTCTTTTGCAAATGAGTTCTAACTCTAATGAAAACAATGGTGTTGAATATTCTGTGCATTTGGAAGTTGTTACCTGTACTTCTAGCATGATGGTAGTCTAGAAGTGGGAAATCTTGAGGAAATACTCCACCCTCTAGACTTATTTAACACATTGTTATCAAAAGAAAATTTTGAATTCTTAAGTTACTTACTGTGTACGCAAATAAAAGTAAACTGAAATTTAAAGCTTTTTATACTATACCATAGAATATGGTGATTTCTATGGGTATGAATTCACATGCTGATGTTCTAAAAAGTGAATTATTCTTAATAAAATCACCCTGCTGGGGAGTTGCTCTAAAGAAATTGCATTATAAATGTTGGGAGATGAGTGATATGCTTAGAAAAGCTGTAACAAGGGGACTTGATTTCTACAATTAAGTTTATCAAAATATGATACAGTATTATAAGAAATGTGCAAGTATAAGAAATGCGCAAGAACTAAAAGAATGTTTTTGTGATATGGCAGAATGAACCTGCAGAATAGGAAGTAGAATCTGTGCTGATCAGTAATAGAAGTCCTTTGAATGGGATTCAAATGTCAAATGCTTAAACTTAAAGTAATTCATAGAGGCAGTAATAATGTGTTTATCTAGCTTTAAGGTTTACAGTAACTCTCAACATCAAAGTGTAATGGGCAGCAAGGATGGATAGGACCTACCATTTGTTTGGCTAAATGAAAAGCTAATAATGAAAGTATCTCCATAACATTTCAAATTTATATTTACTATTTCCCTACCAGTCTTAAACCCTTCCCTTCAGTTGCAATATTGCAGTAGTGCAGGAGGACAAAGTAAGCCTAACTAGTGCTGTACCCGTTGTCCTTTTGAATAAATTGAAATGAAAGGAAACAAATAGTGAGAATATAGTTAAAATTCCTGTGACAGATATTAAACTAGTAAGGAAATCTGCATTTTAAATTACTCTTACTGTAATAGTGACCCTTTAACTGTTGCATAGAATTTCCTTCACTGGGCATTAATAATGGAACATTGAATGGAACTACCATTCTTAGTCCTTTATACAAGGAGTTTTCAGTATAGTCCTGTTTGGCTCATGTTTGCTTCTCTTTGTAATAGTCCTTGAAGAAAGTTGGGAAAGATTCTACAGTCCTCCTGATTTGTATCACCGTATTTTTGTCCTACCTTCCTGAGGCTGGCCAGTACTCTAGCTTTTTTCTCTATTTGCGACAGGTGAGTAAGTGTTGGTCACTTAAAAAATGCATATCATGTTCTCAGAGTCTTGTAAAGCTACACTTCAGATCAGGATTGCCAGAGTTCTATTTCTAAATTTATGTTGCATTTTGGGGATCTATGCCTTGAAAGCACCATATGTATATAAATATGAAATTATACTTTATATACAGACATTGAAAGCTTTCCTTGAGGAAAAGTGTTCTTGCTGCCATTTTAAAACTATTATTAAAACTTCTTTGTAGGTTTTAATGATCTAAACACTTTGTTTTCTAAACGCCTCGAGTACACGGCTTGATTCTGACATAGTGCTGGTGAGGTTTTTAGTCAAGTCTAATGTTATTTTAATACTGAACCAGCTCTTACAATCCATTATATTTAACACCATTATATATGTTTGCTTCTAGAATAGCATTGTTTTTAATGAAAACATGTTGAATTTGTGTTAGAATTGCTCCTTCTTTGTTGCTTTTCCCCTCATACTGAGTAATAAAAGTTCCTGTTCTCAAAGTGCATTTATGTTCCTGGTGTTTTGCATAGCTGCTTGGAGATAGCTGAATAGTCTAGACTTCCTCTCATTGGAAGCTCTCTCTTCAGTAGAGAAATAGTAAGAACCGCAAGTTTCATTTAAAAGCGGAAAGCACTGAAAATATGAGAAAATAGACTAGGTGAGTTAGAGAATTGATTATTAATAACCTTTACATAACACAATAACTTATAGGGCATTACAGAGAAGAGTTCACAACTTAGTTATACTCTTAAGAATTATTAGTTGCTTTCTTCTGAGTGTGCTTTCTTCCACAAATCTGGAATCTTAAACATGCAACATCACTTTCATGAGTTTTCCTAATTCAGTTCATGAATATGAATGCCAAGCACCCTTTCTGTAAAGTGAATGTAGTTGTGTTCGTTTCTCTGCAATTTGTTAAATGTTTTTGCATTTGATATACAACAGGGCAGAGAAATTATGAGAGATAAAATATCACTGCTTTGTTTTTATGTTCTGATACTTCTAAAAATTATGAGATACAATATCACTGCTTTGTTTTTATGTTCTGATACTTCTATGCTGTGTAGAGGAGTGATGGAACGTGAGGTAAAATGAAATATTAAGGCAGAGATGAGAGAGTATTCTCTTGTAGAATTTTAGATTTGCCATGGTGGGAAGGATAAAGACAAGAATTGGAGGAGAAATTGGTAAGGAATTGGGACTAGTGTGCTCATGAGTTTGCATATAAAAAGAAGGGAAAGGGAGAGGAGGGAAAAGTGGAGTGATGTTATTTTTTTTAGGTAACAGGAAGTAGTAGGACTAAGAGGCAGAGAGGAAATAGACTGAGGATAGTGAATAAGAATCAAAGCAGTAGGAGTTTTAGGAGGGCGGAAGGATGGAGTTGAATTGGTAATAGGTTTTTATCATAGGTTTAAAATTCTGCCCATTATTGTGTTGGCCAGATTCTAAATGTGAAATTATTTTGATCTGTGTGAGATGAGTTAGAGGTCTCAGTAGATTTGATAGTAAACAAGTGCCCATGCCACAAAAATAACCATCACAATTGGCACTAATTGTCCGTCTAATTAAAGGATGAATAATTATTGTCTCAGTCCATAAGGGGATATCTCTTGTTGTGAGGAGTTTAAGCTGTGACATGTTGCTAGAGCTTCATTTCCAGGGCTATCACTACCTCTTGAGAGAGTAATTTCACACAAAAACAAATAACATTTTACTGTCCTTTGTTTTCTCG